AATAGTATTTAAAATACAAAGTAGGAATAAATTTAACAGAAGCTAAACAAAAGGTCTCTACACATAAAACTAGAAAGCATTTATTAAAAAAATTAAAATACCCAAATAATGAGAAGATACACCATGTTCATGAATTCAAAAGCTTAATTTTATTAAGATTAATTCTCCCCAAATTGACTGACTACAGTACCAATTATTTGTGGTGTCTATTGGTTGTAACCAAACAAAATTCTAATTGATAAACTATGCCAGCCCAATCAAGTAATTAATTTTTATATGTCTTGGACTCCTCATTTGTTAAAAATGTGAGTAATAGAACACATCCCTGTGCATCAAGTGGCTACATTTGTACTAATAGAAAGAGGAGGAGAAAGAGGAGGATACACAGTGTTAAAAGTAATAACAAATCGCTACTGGCTACTCACTCAGACACCATGCTGAGCAATTGGTAGCTATTATCTTTCATTTATCACATCCACTGGCTCAAATAGAGTCTACCATTTTCCACTTTTACAGACGAAGGCTTAGAGACTTGATTTAGGGAACTAATCTAGGAACACTGAACTAGTGAACAGGAAAAGCAAGATTCAAACTGAGATCTCACTCTAAATCTGAGCTCTTAAGTCCTGTGCAATATGCTGCCTCACGGAGGAGAGTTTATTTAAAAGCTCTTGACAAGCAGAAGGTGCCACGATGGCATAAGAAACTGCAGCAAGATTAAATCTACCACTGTCATAGATTCCTTAATTTAAGACAGTTTTAGAAAACTTAAATTACTTAGCAATTAGAAACTTTGTACTCTGCATTGGCACAAATGTCCCGTGCTTGATTAGCCTACTGGGTCTCTGTATTTCCACTATCACATGGAAGATAAATTTTAATGTAATTATGAACTTGAGTCCTAAGGGGTATATATATGCTATCAATCCATTACAAAAATCATGTCATTTTAAAAGTAACTCAGATATCAAATTAAAAGTCAACATGGCAACAGGTGTAGGCGTGGTCTACAAATCTGTCGATCAAAAGCAGATTTAGGACAATGTGGGTCTTTGCCTCAGATTTCATGTTACAGGTGTGTTAATGGCTAATTTTTGAAATTTTGAATCACAACTGGAATGTAAGCATTATACTGATAATAAATAGAAAGCTTGAATGTTACACAGTTCCAAAAATTAAACCGTAGGCCAGATAAGAAACCAAGTACATTCAGTAGTGAGATACATAAATAACACCTACGTAAGTGATTCCAAACTCAGATAGAGTGTTATGTGAGTCTGATTTCCTCTGCCAAAATAGAGGAGTCTGAAAGTCGAAGCTAAGTCACAGATTGGTACAAAGCACATTTCTGTGTTGAATGTCCAGAGTGGAGGGCAGAGCCGTGAGTGTGATAAAAAGGTATTTTATGACACAAGGTGGAAAAGGTCATGGGTGAGCTGCAGCTGGGACTCAGCCAGGAAAGATCTTGTCTTCCCGAGAAACATTCTACAAATGGACCAAGACCTTTGTCCTCTTTCACTTCTCTCCATCCTCCAACATTCTCCTCCCTCAATGCCTATATACAGACACACATTATATGTAGAGTTTTAAACTCCATGTCCAATACCAAGAATCTCTCTGCTTTTCACATTCCCACACAATGGTATGCTCTCAAAATGAAATTTCAGATTAACTCTTGCTAAAGTTTCTCTTTATAACAACATAAAAATCACAATAATTTTTATTTGAGAAGCAGAGCACCCATCCACAAGTTTACTCTCCAAAAGCCCAGGATCCAGGAACTCAATCCAGGTCTCCCATGTGGGTAGCGAGGACTCAAGTTCCTGAGCCGTCATCTGCTGCGTCTCAGGGTGCACCTTAGCAGGCAGTTGGAATCAGGAGCAGAGTGAGACTGAAACTCAGACACTTTGATACGAAATACAGACTCCACAAGTGGGCAGACTAAGCCATATAATTCTTTAAGAGTTCTGACTGATGACTACATCAGTAATGATCTTTTAAGGTAAATGATCTGAAAATTCCCTTTGCAGATATGCAAAACAAATGAACCAGGTGGAAAAGGCAAGAGGATTGGAAAACAAAATTAAACATTCATGTTCAAGTACATGCCTAGGTACATGTAAACTCCAAAATTATTAGGAGCTATAAGAAGGATCTGCAAAAAGTTCATGAACACGCACATTATAGAAAGAATACACATGATTTCAAAAATTTATGCACCAAGATAAGTTTACTTTGTAATCCCATTTTTCACATTTTTTTTTAATTTATTTGTCAGGTAGAGTTATAGACAGTGAGAGAGAGAGACAGAGAGAAAGGTCTCCTTCCATTGGTTCACTCCCCAAATGGCCGCCACAGCCAGCACTCCGCCAATCCTAAGCCAGGAGCCAGGTGCTTCTTCCTGGTCTCCCACGCAGGTGCAGGGGTCCAAGTACCTGGGCCATCCTCCACTGCCCTCACGGACCACAACAGAGAACTAGACTGGAAGAGGAGCAACCAAAACTAGAACCTGGTACCATATGGGATGCCAGTGCCACAGGTGAAGGATCAACCAAGTCAGCCACAGTGCCGCCCCCACATATGTTTTGAAGCAGCTTCATAGATAGAAAGCAAATAGAATATGGTTTATGGAGTACTATAAGTCATAAAAATAATAGTAGTATTCTCGAGTGGCTAAAAGATGAACATAATAGAAGAATTATATAGAATTATATAGTCCTAAACTGGAGCTAATAAGCAAATATTTTTGGATTTGCAATTTTCCTTGAAGGGTAGAAAATGAAAAATTGTTTGATAAGGCTACCCAAAATGTAGAGAGAATAACAACATAGCAATATCTCTAGGGTGGAACAGTTCAAGTGATGCGTAGAGGGTGAACATCAGGAATGTTGGAAAGAAAACACAAAAGCTCCAAGGAAAGACTGACTCCAACACATGGCAGCAATGTCAGCAGCCAAGAGACTTAAAAGAACTGACTGCAACAAGGAAACAGTTTAGAAAAGAATGAAAGATAAAGGAACAAAATAGAGGGTAGTGTTTGTCACAATGGTTAAACCCACTGCTTGAGCACTCCTATCTCACAACAGAGTGCATGGATTTGAACGGTAGCTCCAGTCCCAAGTCTAGCTTTCTACTAATGCACACCCATGGGAGGCAGCAGGTACAGGCTCAAGTAGGAGTCTCTGCCACCTCACATGAGACACCCGGATTGAGTGTCAGCTCCTGGCTCAGTGGCATTTGAAGGTGTGAACCAGTGGAGCGCCACTCACTTACTCATTGTCTTTTAAACAAATAAAATAATTTCTTAAGAAATATAATGAATAAAACTAGAAATAGAATGGAAAAGGAATCTAAGAATAAGGGGTTAATGCCAAAACTGTAATTTAGATAGCTGATTATTCCTTCAAAATCTTGCATTTAAATCAATATTTAGATGAATATGCCTACTGAATATTTATTATGTAAATAAAAAGAAACATCTTGAGACTATACCTATTATAGAAATTAGGTATTTGTGGCCAAAACAAAACATTTCTGGAAGGTTAAACATTTCTGGAAGGTTTTAAATTGCAAGACAATGAAGTCATTCTATGTATTATTAGAAAGCTATCTAAATGTCAGAAAATTATGCAATATTAATCAGGGTAAAATGTGGAATAAAGTGATAGTGGCAATTTTGCTAATAAAGACCATTTCCATGTAAAAATGATATGCACAGGAACTTAAAATTTAAATAATAAAATTCAAGTCAGAAGGAGTCATACTACTTTGTCTCCTCTCAATTCCTACATCCAGCCCATCAGTGGATCTTAGAGATCCTCCTCCAAACATATTATGGCCCCAAGTGCTTTGTTCCACCTCTGCTGCCACCATCCTAATGACAGCCACAATTATTTCTCCTCTATTATAATATTTTCCTCTGATGAGATACTGGGACTCTATCTTACCCCTATAACCAACTGTCCAACAGCAACAGAATGATCACCAAATAGAAATATTATCATGGCTTCCAATTATCCTTAGAACAAAACACATCTTCCTTCTAATGCTTCACCCTGACTGACGGCTCATTTTTCAGAAGGTTGGCTCCACAAGGCCTCCTTTCAGTTCCCAGAAATAAGAAGCCATTCCCCATCTGGAAGCCATTTCCACTGCCTGGGAGTCCCCGTTCCCGGCTGCTTACAAAGCTGGATCCTTCTTGCATTTTAATTCTTGGCCTAAACATTAGATAGCTCCTTGCTGATCACCCCCGTCTAGTTGCATATCCCTTCTTATTCAATAACACAGTACCCTAACTCACTAGTTTCATAGCATTTGAGTTAATTTGTGATGACACAGTTATGTATTGCTTTACCTGTCCATCATCTGTCTCCCTTCAGTAAGACGGTAAATCCTGGAGAAGGAGCCATGTTGCTTTTTCTTATCACTAATCCTCACCATCCAGCATAATGCCTGTGTTATAGGAGGCTGCATTATAAGTGGGTAGGTGGATGGTGGGTGGATGTGGTGGAGGGAAGGATGACAGAGGACACATACTAACAGATTTGTTACACCATACAAATATGAGGTGACTTGTAAGTATTGATCTATTTTGTTTTTGCTTGATTTCATAAGATTGGTTTTCCCTTATTTTGTATGTTTTGTCTTCACCTAGTTTTTGACTTTAGGAATATTAGTCTCACAAATAAACAGATTCTCAAAAAAGAAATAGTGGATGATAAACGTGGGCTGGTGTTTTGGATTTTACAATGAGGGAATGTGGAAAGGGATGATACTATTTGATGATTTTATTATGGTGCTCTGAGTGAATAATCCGCTGAATCAAAATGAAGGCAGAAAATTCAGTTGTCTAAGTTTTCTGCTGATTGGCTCTTATAAAGTATGAAGAAGGAAGGTTAGAATCTTGAATGCTTTCAGAGGGCTCAATGCTTTAGTAGGGAATCCCAAAAAGGCCATTATCTGAGATGATGAGGGTACAAGTTGAATCATCATTTTTTTTTCAGGGAAACGTTTGAACACAGTCCCCTTGCCTACCCCCAAATTATGCCGGAAGTCGAGTTTCCCACATTTGGGGAAATAGCAAGGGTCAGCACATCAGAGTGCAATGGATAAGCCTCGCCCTGGGAAAACCGCATTCATGCTCATGGTATCTCCCCTGCCAGGTAAGTACTGAAGTCATTTTAATTCCTGCAAACACTTGTGGCTTGGAGGGGCAGCCCAGGCTGACAGCTGGGGATCAGTGTGTGTGGTACCAGGTCCAAGTGTGGCTCTAACTACTACGAGCTGCACAGGTCAGCAAAATCTCACTGGAAAGTTGGATTTTGCATTGGAACTCAAAGAAAGCCTGAGGTTTGACTCAGCAGGCAAAGAAAAGGAATGATAGAATCAGAGGAGGGATTTTGGCTGATGTTTATGGAAAAATTAATTAGGACCACATTTGTTCTTGTTCAAAGAAAGCAGACAGTTATGCAAGATAAGAGTAGGAAGAATATCTAGGAAAATCAATTACCAAACTATCAGATACAAAAGACACCCAATAGGATTGTACTTAAAATGTAACTTTCAACTTTTAAGAGAATAAATTTGAAGAAAAATATACCTTAAGGACATTTCCCTAGCAGAAAGAGAAAGACAAATTTAGAACCAAGACAAGAAATGAAAAATTACTAGGAAAAACACTGAAGAATGTTACAGCAACTTTCCCTAGTTTAGAATAAATAGACGAAAGGGTAGAAAAGATAAATTTACTTGAGGTATATAGTTATATAGCAAAAAGTAAACGGTTGTTAACAGTGGAAACTTAGAAGTTTGGTCAGAAGCTTCCTATTTTCCTTTAGGTATTTATCTATCTAACCTATACCACTTGAGATCAACCCACATCTATCTACATCAAGGCCTCATCCTGGTGAGGGAAACAGATAAAGCAGGTAGAATCATCAATAGTGCTACTGGTATTGCAGCAGATAGAGAAGGCAGACACTGATGGGAGCGCTGGTAAACACTGCAGCCCGGGAGACCTAACTGATGAGACAGGGGAGGGCCACGTGAAGTCCAGAGGAAGAAGCTTCCCCACAAAGGGAGTGCTGGGTGCCAAGTATAAGGTGAATGGCGCCCCCTGGAGGACAAGTTCTAAGTCACTGTGAAGAACAAAAGAAGTTGGAGAGGTAGTCAGGGATACATTGGCCTTGCATCACCTTTGGGCTGGGAAACTGCCCAAAGTTTGACAGGAGGGCAATGAAAAGATACCCCTACGTCTCAGAAGGATCACTCTGTCTCACGCTAACTTGCCACTCAATAGCCCCATCCATCAAGTTCTCCAAAACTTGCCCAAAGATGATTTGGCCTCCTCCCTCTTTTACAGCCAATCTGCCTCTATTTCCACTGTCACCACCTGAACTGCACCTGCCATGACAGCTCCCCTAAATGCCTGGATCAGATTCCTATGAGGTTTCTCTAACTCTTGTCCTCACTCCATCCACTCATTTCTCCTTCCACCACAATGATTTCCTGCGTGTTGCAGTTCCCCTCTTTCCGGTAAGTCCTCTCATGGTGCCCTTCCCCACACTCTCGAGGGCCTTCCAATCCCTGCGGTTTGGTGTTTGAAGACCTTCCTGGGACTCCTACTTCTCTCTAGTTGTAGATCTTCCTCCACCATGTCCTGCAACTTCATCATGTCCCTCAATTATGCCACCCCCGCCGCCAGCTCCTCCCCGACCTCACACAAGCTGTGCACTGTGTCTTCCTGGAGAGTCCCTTCCGTGCCTGCAGCCCTAACTTCTTCCTCCGGGTGCTATACATGCTCCAGGCCCACGTAAACCCCACTTCCATTGGAACATTTCCGGACTCTCGCTCCAGTTCTCTTACAGGATGAGAGTTCCCCTTCTCTATCACCTGCTCCATCCCAATCACACTGTCCACTCTGTCTGACAGCTGCTATTCCACAAGACCATGAGGCTTCTGTCTCATTCACAACAAAGCCCTGTGACCACCACAGAACTGCCACAAGGGTAATGAGCCAACAGATAGTATGTGAATGATAAAGCCTTTAGTCCCATACATGCATTATACCACATTTGTATGATGGAATAAAATGGAGCCATTGACAGTTCTTAACAAAGATAACTCATGGAAGAACATTCGGAAAACATCCAGTTAAAGCAGCTCATTATCAAAGAGAGTTAGGGTAAGATCCAATTTTAGCTTTCTGAAAAGGACATTAAAAAGAGAGGCTTCAAAGATATTCACCTAAAATTAAAGCAGTTCTCTTGTAGATGGGATTATGGGGATTGTTTTGCTTTGAGCTCATTTGAGCATAGGTTCCTTTCATAGTCGTGTAAAAATTACAGAAGTTATTTAAAGTGCTACATACACTCTTAGGCCATCACAAAGGGTGGACTGTGTCAAATGCAGTGGAAAGAGAAGTGGCAAATAGATCATCCAGGTGAATGCCCTGGGTCATGGTGACTGCAGGCATTGCTATTTGGGAGTTGAAAGTGAAGAAGGTACTATAAAAATGACCAACTATTCATAGAAACTATAACCAAATAAATTGGGGCGAGAAGAGTGGTAGGAAAATATCTCAAAAACTGGGCTACATTAACTAGGGAGAAGCATAAGCATCTATCTTCAGCTTCCTTTTATAAATAGGATATTAGCAGATGGAATTGGGTTGGAAAAACATGGTCCAAAAAAAGGCCTATTTAATTAAAAATAAAACATGATAATACAATTACCAAACATTCTTTTACTTTATGACTTTATTGTGTTCAACTTTGTCTCAGGCCTGGATCCCTTTGCATCCACTTAAAGATACTCCCAGGAACAGGAACTGAGGCCTAAATAGTTCAGAAGGTGGCCAGGCTGCCCATGGTATTCTGGCACAAATTAGAGATAGAAATTTTACTTCATCTTCCTCCACGGTTGTGATCTAATGATGGGTGTCTGTAAGCAGATACTTCTGTGACAGGGAAATTATATTCACCCCTAGGATACTTATATTTTCATTGGAAAGGATCCTGTGTATTGAAGATTGCTTCTGGTGTGGAGAAGGAAGCTTTAACAAAGAGACTTTCCCACAAATGACAACTGTAAACCCCAGACAAAAAGAAAACTAAAAGCAACTCCTCAAGGCTCTGGAAAATGAAGCAAGTGGACAGGCTTTGGAGTGTGGTCACATATGGGGCAGCAGCCAGTGCAGGGTGAGACTGCTGTCTGAGGGACCCACCCCACGGACTAGGTAAAGGGAGGCTGAGACACAGCACTCAACCTGCTCTTTCTGAATGGGGGAACCTGGGAAGGAGCCCAGGCCAGATGCACCATGACGAATGAGGGAGGGCCCTGGAAAAGAAGAGAGGCAGAGAAGGGGATCCCCAAATTCTGGATAAGAACCCTGCCCATGTCTCCAGATGACCCCAGCACTGAAAGCATCCCAAGTGTCTGAGGCCCTGCTTCCTGCAGGCTTTACTGAGTCTAGCCAGTGAGCTCCACCTGCTTACTCTAGCGAACATTCCATCTCGGTTATACAGGAGTTCTCACTTCTATACAATGTTACTGTGGAACAGTTTCAAGATATTGACTCATTCACTCAATCAACAAATGTCTCATCTGTACATAAGGGCTAGGTGTTCTAAGGACACAAAAGCACATCAGCACCGCTGCCCACAAGGAGCCCAGAGCTCCGAGGAGGAAGTGGATAGAAAAGGATGCCCCAATCACAGTCACAGGGGGCAGAACTTGATGCAGAGGAGTCGGGGCAGCAAAAGAACATGGACTTCAGAGTCAGACAACCTGGGTTTACATCTTGGGTCCCCTAGGACCTAACAGCCCTATTTATAAAGGGGTATGATAATATCTACCACCATGTATAACATCTACCACCTTGTGAAGCTGTTGTGAGGAGCAAATAGGGACGTGTGTTCCTCATTTACTCTCTATGGGCGCTGTTCCAAGCCCTGTATGTGCATGGGTTCTTTAATCCTTATAATCGTTCCATTAGGTATGTACTAATACTACCTTCACTCCATAGGTAAGGAAAATAAGGCATAGACAATTTAAGAAACTTCTCCAAGGTCATCTAGTGTGCATGATTAAACACAAATTCCAACTCTACTTGAACCTCAGCTGACTCCTAAATTACGCTTGATAGTAACTTGACAGTGCTAAACAATTGCTTAGCATACAGTAGACACCTAACAAATATTAGGTACCATCATTACTGTGATGCTTACTGCTGATGCTGTTGTATTACTATGAGCCATTAAAAAAACAAGTAACAGGTGTCTGTTCACCACAGCCATTAAGATATCTGTTGCCCATAGCATAGTACCTGAGTTCAAGTCCCAGCTCTGGCTCCTAACTCCAGCTTCCTGCTAATGCAGATCCTGGACGGTGGTGGTAATGGCTTACACAATTGGGTTCCTCCACCCAAGTAGGAGACCTGAATTAAGTTCCTGGCTTCTGGCTTTGGGAGTGAACTAGCAGATGGAAGTGCATTCTCCACATATTTTCTCTCTCTCTCTCTCTCTCCCTCTCTCTCTCTCTCTCTCTCACACACACACACACACACTTAAAAAAAAAAAGCTAGAAATAAACCCTTTAAAAAAAAAAAAACAAGAAACAAGAACATGATATCTGAATTTTTAAAGGTAAAAAGTTATAGTAAAGCTAAATGATTGTCATGTGCAGATCTGGACAACATTATAAGAAATTGAATTTGTGTCTATCTGGTAGGTACATTCGACCTCTTTTTAAAAGGAAAAGCATCAAGATACAATCATTCATTCATTCATTCATTCACCATTCATTAAGACAACTTCTGACTGCCACCTGCCAGCACTAAACTGGGTGTTAGAATGGTTCCCAAAAAAAAACCATTTACTGGGGTAAAGCTGAGTGACAGGACCAGTTACTCATTAAAAATTAGGATGACAAAGAGAAGATTTAGTCATTCACTAAGAGTTAGTGCAGCTGTTGCTCCTACTGCTATGGAAAAAAGCAAGCAAACAAAATTCTGTGCAGTTTTTATTTAAACAATCTCAGAGAAATCACACTATGTGAAAAAGACCAAAAAAAAAAGAATAAAGAAAAGATAAATGTACAGAGTTATAAAACAAAAATTAATCATCATGCACCAAACAGAGAAATAAAATTTTACTTACACTTACTATGTCT